TTACCTTAGACCCGCCCTGAGTGAGCTGTCAACAGTCCGCCATTGTTTGGACGCCGGAGCAGGTGTATTCACACGGGGCGTCGGCGTCAACGCCTCTCGTTTACTTTTAATGGAGTGACGTCAAACGTTGCTGAAATGAATTGTGAGTCCGTCGCGTCACATTGGGTCCGTTGCTCGCGGCAGAAGTTGAAAACTTTTCAAGTGCCAACGCAGGCGTCAGCCAATCAGATCGCCTTATGCAAATACCCTGTTGCAGACGCTAGCCAATCGCGTTCATACAACACCAGAAAACTAACGCCCTCCATCAAGCGTCGACAGCGACGCCCCGTGTGAATGTACCGTAAGGTTGTTTTATGAATCTTTGTAAATCGCCTTTCCTAATAATGTGCTAGTTAGCAAGTTCCACGACTAAAGTTTACAGTCTCATGAGAACTGCTCGTCACCCCACAGAAGAGAGGGGCGGGGTGAGCAGTGCTCATTAGCATGTCAAGGGACATGCACTAAAATGGCTTGCTGTTTTTGACAAGGTAAAAAGGGTGTTGTTTTACACTACCATTGAGAAATTTTAACCAAAGTATGTTATAGACTTTTCATTAAGACCCTAAAGAATCATATCAACTTGTGGAAAATGGGTATCCGATGACCCCTTTAACAAGTAACTGGAAAAGTTCCTAATGTCTGTGACTAATGTCCAAAATTCGACTGTCGAGAGCAAGTGTGAAAAAACAAAGATGTCAGCTTTTCAATCTGTCTCTCTGTCTTTCCTGCCTTCAGTCTCTGCTCAGCATCCCAGGCTCACCATTCCCTTCAAGACGCAACAGTAAGAGCAGCATCTTCAGCCACTGTAAGGATGGAGGCTCGGAGAATGAGTTTGCAGATGATGAACACAGCACGGTTGAGGAGTACGACGAGCGGCGCGATTCGTTCTTAAGCCCACAACGTCGCAGCAGCTACACAGGTTACTACGGCAAGCGCAACAGCACTGTGGATTGCAATGGAGTGGTCTCTCTCATCGGGCCGGGGCCTGGCGGACGCCTACTGCCTGAGGTGATAATAGATAAGGCAGCCACTGATGACAGCGTAAGGAAGTCTAAGAGTAGATCAGTCTAGGCATGGGCATTATCAATCTCTGAACCTTGGCTCTCTCTGTTTGGCTCTCTCTCTTTCTGATGCATTTGTGTAATGGTTATTTTGACTTGGCTCTAAAATGAGCTCTCTTTCAGTTGAGGACTGCTCTCAAAGCCTGTGTGATATGCTGCCCTCCTATGCCAGTTTGAAATTAGTGAACAAGCTGCTAACTATATATAGTTCTCAGTAAATTAACCACTAATATTTATAAAACTGTTTTCATACACTACCATTCAAACGTTTGGGGTTGGAATTTTTTTTAATGTTTTTGAAAGAAGTCAGTAATATTGTGAAATATTATTACATTTACATTTACATTTAGTCATTTTGCAGACGCTTTTAGAAATAGGCAGAAAACGAAATATTCCTTCCTAGCAGAAAGTAATAATTCAAACAGCAGATCTATAAACAAGTATTACGCAAAACACTCACGTGCAGCCGTCTGTCTCTTCTGTTGACTAATCGCTTGGCCCGTTTTTTAATACTTGTTTTCTATGTTTTCTATTTTAATATATTTTATGTAATTTATTCCTGTAATGGCAAAGCTGAATCTTCAGCAGTCTTCAGTGTCACATGATCCTTCAGAAATCAATCTAATATGCTGATTTGGTGCACTAAATTTTTTTTTTATTATCAATGTTGAAAATGGTTATGCTGCTTAATATCTTCATAGAATTCATGTTTTTTTAAGGATTCTTTGATGACTAGAAAGTTCAATAGAACAGCATTTATTTAAATTAGATCTTTTGTAACATTGTTTAATTTAAACATCAATTTTCCCTTTTGATCAATTTTAATGCATCCTTGCTAAATAAAAGTATTAATTTCTTTTAAAAAAATATTGCTAACCCCAACATTTTTAATGATAATGTATGTCTTAGTAGTAGGAATTAGAATTCATTGCATCATCTCATTACACCCCACAAGCAAAATCTTTCTTCATTTTTTCATACTTATTCATTTATTTTAACATACATGTCAACTCAATGTCCTTTGTTATTGTATTTCATTTTATATTCACGCAAAGGTGAATTAACCATGAAAATCTTCCACTTCCACCCTCTAGCCTTCAACTCTCTTTTCATATTTTCTCTTAATCTACTTTTTTTTTTTGTATACCATGTGCTTTTTCCTGTTTCTTCTTCATAGTGTATACATGCATTTTTTTCTTATTTTAATGATCAGCACCATTTCTTCATACTGTTATTATAATGGAAGCATTGTAGTTAGCATGGTAGTTAGTTAGCATGGTAGACTGCTAGCTTTATGAATCGTATAGAGGTCTGGTATAGCTTCAGATCTTCAGCATGAGGTTAATGGATCATGATATTTATTCTATTCTTCTCTTGACTTCTTAGACTGAATGCATGCTGATGCATGCTGACTGGATCTCCTAAAATCTGGAGATGCAGGGGCTTCAGATGAGAGGAGGAAGGGAGTGGAGAACAATGGTAGATTTATAATATGATAAACTTGAATAAGTTACTTATTCATAGCCTTTCCAGCATTCTGGATATTTTTTAAAACAAACAGTTTATAAAACATGGCTGACTGTTTCAAATGGCCATATGAGTGAGCATTTTGATAACATATAGCATGTTAATCACATGCTTATGTTAGGAATATGTATCGCAGGAATGCTAATGACAAATGCCCATGAATTTCCACCCTACCTTCTCTCTTGTGAGAGCCCAGCATGTCTCTGCTTTAATGCATTCAAATGAGAAATGGCTCCTTTGGACAAAATGTGTTGACAAAAATTCTTCTCCTAACCAGCCTTTCTTTAACTAGCCATGTGATGCACATTTTCCCCCCACACATTGGCTGCACTGTATAATGTTGTGGTGCTACTGTTTAACCTCATTGTTTTTCTCCTGACAGCCAACCACTGATCTCGAAATCAAGAAGAAACTCTCAGGCTCTCTAATGGTTTCTGTAGAGCAGCTTAACACATCGTTTGGGCGCAAGGAGCGAGCCAACAGTGTCATGAGTGCGTTAACCAACACATTGGTTGAGGGTATGTCCATATCTTGTAACCTAAGGAATGTACTGCTTTAAAAAAAAAAAGAAAAAAAAAGAGAAGGAAATCTGTTATGGTTACCATACTTCTCATTCTTCGCTTCCAGAATTGGAAGAGTCTCAGAGGAAGTGTCCACCATGCTGGTACAAATTTGCCAACAAGTTTCTTATCTGGGAGTGCGGACCTGTTTGGATGAAGGTTAAGGAGATTGTGAACCTGATCGTGATGGACCCTTTTGTAGACTTGGCTATCACCATTTGCATTGTGCTGAATACTCTCTTCATGGCCATGGAGCATTACCCTATGACGGAGAATTTTGAGCATGTACTGTCTGTTGGAAACCTGGTGAGGATTCTACGTAGCCCTTATTTTCAAGAGTCTTTAAATTAAAATATAAAGAATTCTTTCGTTGCTTGATGAAACTGTGCCCCTCCCCCACGGCTTATATTTTTGTAGTCTCTGCAGGGACGTTGTTGGAACACTCAAAGCCATTTTTTTTGCTTGGCGTAGAGACAGTGCTAAGCTACTGGCTGAGTGTGGTGGTGCAGAGCCAGCATAAATATTTCATGTAGCCTAATCGATGAGCAGCTCTAAAATGGTGGCATTTTCACAGTTCTAGGAGCTTGAACCTGTGCGATTTGGTTCCTGCATCTGAATGAGTGTAAAAATGCTTGTAAAATTGTCAACATTGCAGGAAAGTACAGATTATGTTTCCCACTTATGAACCAAATTGCTTTTTATATTACGTTGCCAAGTGATACCGAGACTGTTAGGGGTCATAAATCAGTGCAGTGCACCATACACCTACCACAAATTGTGATTTTCTAAGACACGTGACCTGCATTGTGGAGTAAATCACGTGCATGTAATAGCCAGGCCTCTCGCAATGAAATTCCAGCAAATTTCAGCTGACATGGTGATATGATGCAAGTATTCAAAATTCTTCAGTACACCTGTGGGCCGGAGCAGGTCGTGGCTGTGCAGGTGGCAGCATGACTCACATTCGCTGGCTGTGCAGACACACGGCAGGCCTCCTGGAGTCAAGGCAACCTTGTACCCTCCCTCAGTCCACCCGCCTGCAGGGTGATTAACTGCACCCTTCAGCTGTGACAGCAGGATGATCCGTTTGACACTTTGAACGTCACAGAGTCTTGTAGCGATTGGTCAGGGAGTTATTGTGAATGTGTAGGCCAGGATGTTTTTGCTGCTAGGTCAGGAAAGAGCTGATGACTCTCACAACTGCATTGCTTATTTGTCTTTAATCAGTTTGTTGATATGGGATTGCTTTTATAAATAGTCTGGCTCGTTAAATTGAGATTTTATTTTATTGAGCAAAGCACACAATGTAACAACATGACATAGTAGCTTATAAAAAGGAACGAATCAATGACACATATACGTAGACATACAAAATAAAAAGAAAAAAAACAGGACTACAAAAATATATAGATATATTTTTCTTGTAATGTTATGAAGAGAAAAAAATCAAATAAGTCTGTCTCGAAGTGATCTGTTTGTCATCAATCCGTGTAATTTCTGTTTTCTTTCTTCCAGGTGTTTACTGGTATCTTCACTGCCGAAATGTTTGCCAAACTGGTTGCAATGGACCCATACTACTATTTCCAGGAAGGCTGGAATATTTTTGATGGCTTTATCGTGAGCTTGAGTTTAATGGAGTTGGGCTTGGCCGATGTAGAAGGTCTTTCTGTGCTGAGATCATTCCGATTGGTAAACATTTTTATTGCTTCAGATCTTTGATATGTGTGCATGTGCTATTGCATTAAGAAATTATGTGAATCAGGGAACAGAATCAGTGGTTAAGTTGGCATGAAATGCAAAATCACCCTATTTTTAATTGCATATTATTGTGAACAGTTCATCCATGCATATGTTTTATTCAATCAACAACTGATCCCTGCCCTGCATGTTTGTTTTCTGAATAACCCAGTTCACTCGGATGTACATCACAATACAGAGTAAAAGATTTTTTTGCAACTTCCCTTACATTGCAACTTTAATGCTTATTTAAACAAATTTTGAGTACCATGCTCTTAGTGTTGTCTGTATGTCTGCATTTACAGTACAGACCTGCCAACCTGTATGCATTTTGTGTAGCGATTTGGGTAGCGGTTTATCACTTTAAAGTATGCAAATCCTGGTGACGCCTCTGTACACATGCAGTACTCGAAACAAGCAACAGAAAAAGATGAAGAGTTCAACCAATCAGATCATTTTGTTTTTCGGTTTTGCGTTTAAATAATTTCCATGTGTTTTTTTTCCTCTCCAAACCGGCTCTGTTTGTGTGTGTCTGTGGGTGTACGCGCTGAGATGAGGAAGCGCCTCCCCGCTTAAAACGTGCATCTTAAAAAGCAACACACACCAAACATCCTCCCTTGTAATGACTCTAAATCTATTGTCCAACAAAAGAGAATATTATAACATAACCCACAACATCAGACAAATGTTAGAAATAACTTCCGTCCTAATCTGATGTGGCTTCTTATCACTTAATGTCGCAGAAATATAGTCTATATTGTAATAAAGCCTATGTCGATTAGCAATGGATTATAAATATACTTAATTATTATGAAAATACCCAAGGTGATTTTAAGAGCACAGATAAACCATACATTGTCACAGTCAAGTGTTTATTGTTGTAATGTTCTCTTTGAATGTCATCATTCAAAGCTATTCTGTGTTCTTTTATTCAGTTACAGTGATAGCTGGATGCTTTTGTCCATATTAAGGATTTCCGGGAGTGTCATCAGTTCTATTATTTCTGTGACCCATATGTGGATTTTTTGCGCGAGGGCGCCTTGAAACAGACATTACATGGATTTATAGCACTAAATAATGGCCAATCCATTAAAATAATGCTTCTCTCAAAAGAAATTTGAAATAGACATTTGATGATCCATGTTTATTTACAGTGTACAAAAGTGTACTGGAGTTTTAATTAAGGTGTACTGGAATTTTTTTAAAGGGGTCATCGGATGCCCATTTTCCACAAGTTGATATGATTCTTTAGGGTCATAAAGTCTATAACATACTGTGGTTAAAATCTCTCAATGGTACTGTAAAACAACACCCTTTTTACCTGCTCAAAAACAGCTCTGTTCACAGCGACCAATTTCGGTGCATGTCCCTTTAAATGCTAATGAGCTCTGCTCACTCCACCCCTCTCTTCCGTGGGGTGACGAGCCATTCTCTGAGAGAATGTAAACTTTAGCCGCGGAACTTGCTTACTAGCACATTGTTAGGAAAGGCGATTCGCAAAGATTCATAAAAAAAACCTTATACTCACTTCTTCTGTAGGTGAAGCTGGTTTACGAATTATTTAAGCGAACATAGAAGCATTTAGGTAGATTGGGGGGCGCATTCCCTTCAAAAACAAACGTAATCCACTGCATCTTCAGCGGCTCAGATGTTTGGAGTAAATGACAACTGCCAACAAATTATTACATCCAACAACAAAACACCTCAATCGCTTAGGAGACATTCTTGTCTACCTCTGCTCCGGTGTCGAAACAATGGCGGACTGTTTACAGCTCACTCAGGGCGGGTCTGTGCTAAAATGGCCATGTCAGTCAATAGTCGTGGGAGGGACCTGTGCAGAACTACGTCACTCTTCCAAGAATCTCAGAACAGCCTGATCTGAGAAAGTGATTATTATCAAAGTCCCTTTCAAGGAAAGTCTGTTCACTCAGCAGCCATATATGCAAAGCCTCCGGGAAGCTCAAACAAGACCAAGTCCTATCTAAATGAATGGGGGAATCCTGAAATCTCAAAAACTGCCCTATGAACTCACAAATAAATTACATATTTCAAATCAGCAACAAAATCTGAAACGAACTGCCCCATGAATGTTGTTTCGTATGCTCTAAAAAGGCTTATTTTTCAGGCTAGACTAGCCAACGTGCATGCACAGTTCCAACGCGCATATGACTGTGCATGCACATCGGCTGGTCAAGCCTCAGGTTTCTATGAGAACCAGAGCTTTTAACAGCCACTGCAGTTATGCAATGACTTTACCAATCGGCGACTGGTTCTTTCATTTAGAAGGCGGGACTATTCCGCCATATTGCACGTTTCAGTTTCTTCCATTCATAAATATAGGAGTGAGCCGTCTTTGCATTTTTATAGTCTTTGTTATCATCAATGGGGATTTAAAAAAAAAACACTGGATGTTTTTTTATTTTTATTTTTTATAGGGTGGTTGTGTACACACACTGCCAACACATATTTATGTTTAAGCAACATGTAAAAGTGAATTTTGCATCCAATGACCCCTTTAAATAGCTTTTAAAAACGGAAAAAAGAACTCTGATGTGCCAAACCAACAGAACCAAACCGAAAACTGTGGTTTAAAAACTGTGGACTAACTTTATTGTTGCATCCCTACTGTTTATTATAAAATACTGTATGAGAGGAATATCACAAACTGAGTGCAGACACTGAGTAACCTATGACAATTTTTTAATTCACACTGCACACTGAAGATACTCAAAAAAAAAAATGTCCAAGGTTGTCAGGTCTGCCAGTATGTCATTTATGTTATGATTGTCATCTGCTTCCAATACAAATAAAAAAGCATAAACACAGATCTCTCCTTAATAAAATTCTGTTTAGCACCTTCTTTCTGTGGGAGGTAATAGCACAATGTTAATTGCATCAGGCAGATTGTGAGTATAATAAGCCTAATTTACATAGAAAGGAGGTGTGTTTGTACTGAAAAGAATGAGAGTTATTTTATTTAAATACAGAGCAACATTATTTTAAAGCAGCGTCTGGTTAAACAGGATTGTGGGTGGTTAGTGAATAAGACATAATGAATAAGTGGCACAACTCTTTAATGAATTTGCCCTTTGTTTTCAATAGCCCACATTCAAAGAATAATATTGAACATGGTAATTCTACTTGTGCTCTCTTTTAACAGCTGAGAGTTTTTAAACTGGCTAAGTCATGGCCCACCCTTAACATGCTGATTAAGATCATCGGCAACTCAGTAGGAGCTTTGGGGAACCTGACCCTGGTGTTGGCCATCATCGTCTTCATCTTCGCCGTGGTGGGCATGCAGTTGTTTGGGAAGAGCTACAAGGACTGTGTGTGTAAAATCGCTGGAGATTGCGAGCTGCCCCGCTGGCACATGAATGACTTCTTTCACTCATTCTTAATCGTCTTCCGGGTGTTATGTGGAGAGTGGATCGAGACCATGTGGGACTGTATGGAGGTGGCTGGACAGGGAATGTGTCTCATCGTCTTCATGATGGTCATGGTCATAGGAAACTTGGTGGTAAGTGTTCTTTAGATGCAGAAAATGCATTTTTGTCATGGAATTTGAGCTAAGTTGTACTGAAAACTGCTGAAATGGAGATAAACTCAAGATTTAGGTTTCTATCCATCTGTTGAAAGTTCAGGTAACCAAAGCTTAAAAGATCCAAAAAGGTTATAAAAGTGGGTTATATTAATCCAAATGAATCGAACAGTTTAATCCAAGTCAAGTGAAGAGATACAATCGCTTCATATGATTAACATTCAGTTTAGGCTTTTATTCACAATTAAACACAAATACATTGAAACATACACATTAAAACACACCTTTATGCTTGCCTGGTGTTTTCTTTCTCTTCATCTGAATTAATGTATGGTTGCATGTTATATGTACTGTAGATGTGTGTATCTATATTATTTATATTACATTATTATATTTGCGTTATTCTGTCTGACCTAAGATGAACCAAATAAAAGCAAAAAAACACCCCTTAGATTAAAATGAAATTCTCTTTATGATGCCTTTATAACCTTTTGGGGTCTTTTAAGCTTTGGTTACTTGAACTTTCAATGGAGGGAGGAATCTCTCAGGTTTCATAAAAAAATATATTAATTTGAAATCTTTTGGGTTTGGGACCACGTGAAAGTGAGTAAATGATGACAGAGTTTAAATTTTTGGGTGAACTATCACTTTAAAAATAAAAATTGTATCAGTATGCCTGAGTATATGATGCATAAAATGCCTCCAAAAGCAGCTGTCTTGATAATTTGAGGCTAAGTTATATTACTTTTCTCTCACACTGATCAGGTCTTGAATCTGTTCCTTGCCTTGCTGCTGAGCTCATTCAGCGCAGACAACTTGGCAGCTTCTGATGACGACGGCGAGATGAACAACCTGCAGATTGCAGTTATTCGCATTAAGAAGGGAATTGCATGGGTGAAGGCCAAAGTTCGAGAACTGGTCAACATCATCCTCAGGAGGAAGGTCACCGACGAGGCCAAGCCGCTAGACGACATGTATGACCGGAAGCTAAACTGCATCACCAATCACACAGGCGTGGACATCAGCCGTGACCTGGACTATCAGAAAAATGGCAACGGAACCACCAGTGGTATAGGCAGTAGTGTGGGCAAGTACATGATTGATGATGACCACATGTCCTTCATCCACAACCCCAACCTGACCGTATGCGTGCCCATCGCCATGGGCGAGTCTGACTTTGAGAATCTCAACACCGAAGATTTCAGCAGTGAGTCTGAAGCAGAGGGCAGCAAAGAAGTGAGTATGCAAAAGAGCTGATTTTGTGATGCTTTTAGGCTTTGACCTAGTTGCTAGTGGGTGAAATGTAATAGGTTATTGATTTGGCCTCAGGAGTAAATGTTTAGTGATTCTAAACTGAGGTATTTGCTGCTTTTTGTCCATGATATTGATATATATGGAGTAAAGTGCAGTGTATTGTTTTAAAATTATGTTAAAACGTGTGTAGGCCATTGAGAACACTGTATTGTGAAACATGAAAACAGATTCTTGTCATTTCATTCTTAGAGCTAAAGTGTGTTAGTTCTGGATGTCTAGCATAGTAAAACAGAACGGTTTACAAACACCGTTTCTTGTCTGTCACTGGTGGTCATTTGCTATTTATTGCTATTTATTATTCTGTTTGAGCATCTTGAGTTTTTTAAGCGTTTTAATAATGCAGTTACAATTTGCATTGAACATTTTTTTTTGCTTTGCTATTTAAATTTTTTAACATCAAAAAATGGCACTTGTGAACTCTTCTTAATTAGTTGGATGACATCAGCTCTTCAGAGGGCAGCACCATAGATATTAAACCAGAGGTAGAGGAAGCGGTGGTGGTGGAGGCAGTAGAGGAATATGTTGACCCTGAAGCTTGCTGGACTGAAGGTAAAAGGGCTCATAGATTTCTCTTTGCAGATGATTTATTTTTTTATGCAGAAACTGTAATGGATTATGAGAACAGAAGTATAATGTGTGCCATTTTGCAGGTTGTGTGGCCCGCTACAAGTGTTGTGATGTGCCCATCACGGAGGGCTGGGGTAAGAATTGGTGGTTCCTCCGGAAGACCTGCTATCTCATTGTGGAGCACAACTGGTTTGAAACCCTCATCATCTTCATGATCCTCCTCAGTAGTGGAGCATTGGTGAGAATGTACACAAACACACAAATTTCTTATAGGGATGTGCACAAGCACTGTCACGTCACGTCACGTCACGTCATGTTCTGTGTTTCATTACTTAAGTCGAAAAATGCTGCTTAAATATTGCTTGGGATTCAATTTAGGGCTGCACGATAAATCGAAATGGAATCGAAATCGCGATTCGACAGAAGCTGCGATTGACATGCGTATCTTTCAGTGAAGCACGGTTCTGTGATCAGCAGTAAATCTCCATCCGAAGGCCAGAG